CTTGTCAATAATGTAGCAGATAGGGTTTGTCAAATCTTAACAGATCAGATAGCAGATTGCTTATCAATTATCTTTGCTATAATCCATATAAAATTTTAATTATTGTTAATACTACATATCTAATTTGAATATGGTTTCAATTAGAAACGAAATATCCTAATTAATATGGAATTTAATATAAAAGCAGCTAACGTTTTACCATTCGTCATTTAATAAACTGATTTAAACACTCGTAATACGTGAAACTAATATCACCTAATCACCTAATAGAAACCATCTACTTTTCTTACAAATTGAATAAATATCTACAATGGTACCAATGACCACTTGAGATAAAACTAAAAAAATACAACAGGAAAAACTAATGAAAACACTAAGTCTCTACCGACTCTGCTTAGAAATGAATGAAACTTCCAGTCGCATTCTCTGTGACTGCCCAGTCTTGATCTGGGTCAGGAGTAGGTAACTGGATGGAGAACTATTCTCCCCTTTTGACATTAGGAAGACCTCAACGGCTGACATTCTGGTTTTCATTCGGAACGCGAAATGTCTTCTGTTTGGTTAACATCTGTTGCAGCACAAAAGATCGACCATAATCGCAGTGCTCCGCTTTGTTGGAGCTGGTACCTTGTTTATTTCTATTCTATTCTATTCTATTCTATTCTATTCTATTCTATTCTATTCTATTCTATTCTATTCTATTCTAAGTGTCTACCGAGTCAAAATAATTTGTGTGATTTCTTAAAATACACAGATATGAGTATTACAAAAAAATAATAATTCTGTTAGAATTATTATAAACCCACTGATAATTTATATACAGAAATGTTCCGCACAATACAATTAAAGTACATAGCATGAATGAATTAGTAGGCACTTATGGTATATAGGTATATTATAAAACAATGTCCAACTTCAAATACAAAGAAAAATCTCTGAATTTACGTTACCTATCAGAACTTTCTGAATGGCGAGAGTCAGTAGGAGAAAAGCAAAGGTTTTTAATTTTTTTTTTCAATTGTTTATATAAATATTCTCTGGGTTTTATGTTTTATGCATGAGAAGAAAATTAATTAAGTTTTATTTAAAATTTATATGTGTCTTTGTATGTGATTCAGAAAGCATTCAGTTTAAATAAAAATAATAACGATTTTCCAATAATCTGTTTTACGACTAAATTCCTACAGCTGTCAACTAATAGTCATCAAATACCGGACATTTATTTGTTTATTTAAAGTTATATTCGAATTGCGTAATTAAATATCATATTATTATTGTTATAAACAACAAAGTGAAGAAGCCCTGATTGAATGAAGTATTTAAAATTGTTTATTAGTACCAAACAATAGGTTGTTAAATAAGAACTAATAGACTGGATTAAGTATTTAATACCAGTATTTTTGTGACTATAATTTTAATGAAAGACTGCCTATACTCAAAGTAGCATAGCATTGCTAAATGTCCTCAAAACCCCTCTTTATCTAATGTAAAAACTTAAAAAATTGTAATAATTAATTTTATAAATTTTTTAACTTATAACTATAAACAGTTGATATGAAGAACACTACATATAAATCCCAATAATAAAATAAACCATATAGCTGAATCTCGAGGAAGATTCTACCTTCTTTAAAGTGAAAATATATACGATCGATAGTGGATCAGAATAGCTTTTAAATAATTTCACTAACATAAAAAAAAAATATTTTTATCTTATTGAACGGCACATGATTTATTAACAAGGAATATATACTTATGTATAAATTAAGCGTTAAGACCCCTCATCCCTATCTACGTGTCTGATTTGTAGGTGTACTCAATAACTTTACTGGAAACCAGTCAGACATCAAGTCATTTTAATAACGTAACGTTATACTAAAACTGTTGATACACTTAAAAGTATTTATTAAATATATATATATAAATATTTATATATATATTATATTATATGATAGGTATATTAGTATTTACATCATCATCATACATACATAAAAAGTATGCTTTACTTCATTAAATATTATGTATATTTCTCGGAAGTCTCCATATATATAAACGACATTTTAAATCAGACTATAGTATCTATAATACGATATATACAAATAAATCTTAACACACGTTTTATACGATTACATAGTTTAATTAATGGTCTTTTTCACAGGTATTTATAAGAAGTTAAGATAAGAATTATTAGAACGTGTCTGTAAGTTATGAGAGATTAGTTGTTTTAATAAAACAATTTGATTGCAATCTTTGTAAAGAAATCATGTTTACAAAAACAAATTTTTATTATTAATATATATGATGTTTTTCATAACAATATATAAATCGTAATATAATTATGTATGCATTTCATTCAATAAATATGGTTAGATATATTGCTTTACAGATTTAATAGTCAGACCAAATTAAAAACCTAAAACGTTGCCAAATATTTATATATCATACTTTATTACTCCAATGTTTTGATACATTCACCGTAGTATAGTTTTGATATTTCATAATCAGATTACTATTTATTCTGGTCTCTGTAATATTTTCTTGCTAAAAAAACAAGGTTGAAGTTGCCTCTAAAGCAATGGTTCGCAACTGGTGGTAGGCGGACACCAGGTGATTAACCACGAGATGGTTCAAAATGGTCTGTTAATCAAATTTAACAGGTATGGATACTTAGCTTGTAGTTTGTCCACTGAGACCTCATTTACTAGAAAATAAGCATAAAACATTTCCAAGTAATTATATATCTATTTTTATATCTATATAAAGCATATTAAAATAAAGTGTATTATAAAGCATATTAAAATAATAATACAGTTTATAATTCTTACTAAAAACAAAAATATTATAGTGGTCGTCCTTGACCAAGAAAAGCTTGGGAATCACTGCTCTAAAGGGTACTGACTTGGGTTTACAAAGAAAAATCTAGAAATGAGCCGTCCCTACATTATGAGTCATATTGAGAATATTAGTTTAGGCACACTTTTAGTGGTAGTTGACTACCATGTTATATATCTCTTTGGGTTACACTTAGTATAATATTATTTTAATATAAATAATTAATCAGTGAAATTATAAACTAATTCTTGAAAACACTTGAACAACAGACCGATCTTTAAACTAAAATAAATCAAGTTAGAATTTTAAATTTTCATAGGCAAAAGCCAAGAAGAGTTTAAAACTTTGTAAGTTCGACTAGTGGAATTGATGGATGACATGAGGTAAATACATTTCTAAATGAACAGCAACAGATGATGTGGTGAAAAAAGCAAAACAGCTGTTAAAGCTGGTAAACTGGAAAAACGACAGGTGTGTAGAAAATAAAATATTGACTGAAATAAAGAAACACATTTTTTATTTGTTTGCAGAAATATTTAATGTTTTTATTAGTTTTGTTTATTGTAAAAAAAAATTTTTTTTCTTGTTGTAAGAACCATTCCTTTTTATTTTTTGGTCTAAAATTAAAATTTTTTGTGTAAAATAATTGTTATTTTTTTTAGTGCAAATAAATTATTGTTTTTTTTTATTTAAAAAAAATTATTTGTTTTTGTTTTTGTGAAAAAAACATTGGTTTTTTTTGTGTAAAGAAAATTATTTTTGGAGTAAAAAATATTATTGTTTTTTTGGTGAGAAAAAAAAAATATTTTTTTGGTGAGATAAAAAAATATTTTTTTTGAAGTGTAAATGAATATTTTTTTTGGTGTAAGAGAAATTACTTTTTTTTTGTCAAAAAATTGATTTTTTTTGTGTAAAAAGAATTATTGTTTTTAAATAAAACTAAATGAAAAATTAATTAATTAATTAATTAAATTGGAATTAAATTTTTTATTGTTTTGGTGTAACAAAATTATTGTTTTTTTTTGCTTAAGAAAACTATTGTTGTTTTGTGGCGTAAAAAAAATACTGTGTGTTTTTGATGTAAAAAAATCATTTTTTTTTATTCTTTTGACGTAAAAGATGAATGTTTTTTTTTTATTTAAAACAAAATTATTGGTTTTTTTGGTATTAAAAATATTATTATTTTTTTTGACGTAAAAAAGTTATTTTGTTTAACGTAAAAATATTATTTTTTTATTCTCTTAGTGCAAAAAAAATTTTTTTTTTGTTAAAAATATTGGTTTTTTTGTGTAAAAAAAATTATTGTATGTTTTTGGAGTAAAAACGATATTTTTTTGGTACATTTTTTTTTGCTATTTGTTTTGGTGTAAATAAAATTATTTGAACTTTTTCAGTCGATTATGTTAAATTTATTTTGTAGTGTGATATGAAGTAACTTTTATGAGACGCGTGAAATCCAAGACGAAGCCACTAGGTTAGGTATCCTCATGAGTAGGAGGAGTAGAGCTTCGCGACTAATAAAAGTAAATCTTATGTATTCCATCATATGTAAGAAGGTCAACTAAATCTAAGACTAAAGCTTAGAAATAGCTTAGCTTTCTGCTAAATACGGTAAATATAGAAAATATAGAAAATACTTAAGTGAATAGCGGCAGGAGGGGAAGTTAGTGGCGTTAGTCGCAGCACGATTTATGCGCAATATTCACGTTAACATTGTAAACTTCCGCATTCGTTGCAACTGCAACGAGTAGTTGAATTATTTGTTATTATGTGCTTTTGTTGTGTGTGTTTGTGTGTGTTTGTTGCGAAAGAAGAGCGGACACAACTGATGAGCGGATAATTGCAAATAATGACACCTTGCACAACCAAACCAAATTTGCTCCGATTGTTATAATTAGTTCCAGGCAATAAATTTTGCAAACATTTTAAGTGTGTCGCACTAAAAGTGGACTACGCGAACGAAAAGACATCTGGCAGCCCTGAGAGGAGATAATCGCAGGGTTTTAAAAAAGCAATAAACAAACAATAACTGAGAATGTTGCCATTATGCACATACAAACATACAAACATACATACACACATACATATATGTATATAATGTGTTGAACAAACGCAAAAGGCATTTTTAAAATAACTTACAAACTTACATATTCACTTAATTACCTTACCTCTTTTATTTATGCGAGCTCCGTAATATTTTCACTGAACTGCTGATATCTTTTCCTCCGGATTTTGCTGATTTTTCTCGTGCATAAGCATGAAGACGACAAAAACTGGATGCACCGCAGCAAACGAACGAGCAACCGACCGACCGCCTGTGTTATTTCTGCTTTAGCCACAATTTTCGTTTTGGCCAAAAGCAAACAACAACAAATTTTGTTTTATCTTT